GATCCCGGGAATTAAAACCATTTGCAAACATTTTTGAAACCGTACATATATATACATAAATATATTAATTTTGCAAAACAAAATTCCAACGATTGAAATCAACTGCCAGTAGTTTGGTTTCCATCAGAGAGAGTGCATTTCCTGATCATTACCCTTTGTCCGACAAAGGGGCTGATCCCATCACTATGATCACCCACTCAGATGAATTCTCAGACTGTCCCAACATACCCAGGTTTTGACCCCATCTAAGGATCTCACTGATTGACATATCAAAGACAGCCCGATTCGACACCTAGTGAAATGTCATAATCGAGTCTAGGGGTCAGGTGTAACTTTCCTGTTTTGCCCATCTGTCTCCAAGGTCCAGGGCAATACTAGAAATCTGGTCCAGTTCAAGAATTCAAGTAATCCCATACTGCATGTGCCTTGGGTCTTACCCTGGTGGCTGAGACAGGCCATCCCAACACTTGGTGGCACACCAATATCAGCCTTGGCAGGATAAATCTCCCCAGATTTATCCAATGGCTATGAACATTTAAAACTAACACGAGTCTCTATAAAGTGTATAGTTTTAGGGTCTTATACAGAATTATACCAAACAACATAAATCAAACATGCACTTTATTTATTTCCACTAAATAACAAAAGTACATCAAATCGGATTGAAGATAAGGGCATACAAAACTGTCTAACACTTTAAACTTTAAGAGAAAAATGATTGTTCATTTATTCTTATCTCTTATCTCTTGAAGTGCAATATACAACTTATTGTTTTCTAATGATACCCTAAAAAAGACAAACAAAAAAACTCTTATATATTGGGTTAAAATAGATATTTGATAATTTTCAGAATTCATAATTTGGAATTTAAAACAACATTCTCTACATTCAGTGTTTAAAGGGAATAAAAGTTCACCAATACCAATATATCTCTTAATGTAATTATTGCACTTTCAGATGTTAGGTCAAAGCAAACGAACATGCCATTAGTCAATTACCTAAACCATAAGGTTAGTTTTAAAAGTTTACTCTTATAAAAATTTCCCCCTATGTGGGAAATTTACTTATTCACCTGATAGATGAATCAGTTTTATACGAGGAAGTGAAACTTATTTTACCATGGGCCCATTATTAAATGCAAAAAGAACATTGTAAAGTTGGCCAATGGGGAAAAAATACCCATTAACCAACTTTACTAAGCTTATTTACTATTAAACCAACGAGGCCTAAGGGTAGAGTTAGCCAATTAGTTAAATAGTAAGGATAGTTTAAGAAATTTGCCCTATATTATAATATTATATAGGTTTAAGTAGGTTTAAAAAATAAAAAATAAAAAATAAAATTGTAAGAATAAAATAGGAATGAATGAGGTAGGATGGGGCAAATTAAGATGTTTCCGTTTTCCGTGGGTATGGAGATGGGGTTAGGATTTCTACCCCCCCTGAGATTTGGGGTAGTACATTTGAATTCGTGGTCGGGGATGGGGCAGAAAAAACCCGGCCTTGCTTGTTACCATTCCTAATGGATTCTCCGGAGCAAGCAGAGCCAAACGTAATTCTATTATGAATTTATTCGGAGTGATGGGCCTCTAATTTCTCCTTTGTAGGAGTATAGAAATGGAGTCCTCATCTGCTTCTCATAAAGCATGTCTCACGCCGACATCACAGCATGTCCTGGCCGCACATGGGGAACATCTCCGATACTTGTATTTATTATTCATGGGGAGATGTTACCAATACATGGTGAGCTGAGGTCGGTGTAAGGAGCGCTTTGTGAGGAGCAATTCTACAGCGAACCCTGTTGACAGCCCAGGCTGTCGAAGTGTCGAACAGACAGCCAAAAATTTTCGGTGTAGAAATCAATACGGGTGTTTGGAAACAAGTAGCAGCAAAAGCAGTAGACGAGCAGAAGCGAGGTGACCGACTTAATGGCGTCAAGGTTGCAGCTCCCGGTGGATGAATCAGTTCTTCTGCGGGTCACTCATTCCAACATTAAGTCCTTCTCTGCTGATGTTCGTTTTTCACTTCAGGTATCTGATGCAGAAGCGAACACTCTTGCAACTCAAATTATTTACTGATACCGATGTGTCTATGTATTGTACATAATTTTGCTTTACTGCAAAGGAAATCCATACTTCGCGACTTAAAAACAAACTGGGCTAGACTATATATTGCAAATGCAGCTCGGCATTCGACGGACCTTCGATTGCCCGTTTGATGGTTGACATTGGTGTATTTACAGTAATCGTAGCACAATCTAATGAAATCAGATTAGTTAAAAACTACTGTTAGATGCCCTTTAGGGTTGTGGAGTAGTACAGTGAATTATAGAATGACGGATTGAATCTTCATCTTCATCCGGAAACTTTTGCAGCTTGTGTGCATTTATTGGGATCACAATTACTACTCAGCTTTAGAATTCCCCAATTGGAAAATTTTGTTGGTTTTTGGGTTTATCTTATTGATGAGAACCAGAAATGAACTAAGGCCTATTGTTATGATGTTTAAGCTTTCTAAAGTTTCGTCAGAATTTATCCAGTCACCTGTCCAACCAACTGATGTCCATATTGGGTTAGTGTTACCACTTTCTGTCAGAGATCTTCCTTTATTCTCCAATTTCCGATGCAAAATTCGGATTAAAACTATTCACTAACCCAAGGGCCGAGAGCAATGTGGAGACAACAGGTATTTGTACAGAAAAATGGATTGTCAGCGCAGCAGCCAAGGCCCAAAACAGACAGTATTTCTGTTCCCTGAGAACGGTCATCCTGTTTGGGCTAGGGCTGGTTTTGAATAGACATGCCTTTTATTTGGACGGTGAATTGCACCCACTCTTGTCACCATCCACTTCTTTAATCTATATATGTATATTTTCTGCCAACAAAATTTCTTCTGTTTTGAAGACAAGTAGGGAAACATGTGTGTTGCATATAGTGTTAATAGTAGACATAAAAGATAGAGGTATTTTTTTTTTGGTATTAAAGGTAAAGTCCACTGTACATAGATTTTATACGTGCTCTCCTATGAAAGTCAGGTATTTGCTTTATATAGTAATAGAGTTTGCTTGAAATTGTTTTTCTAAACTACGATGTTCTTGGATTCCTCTACTTCAAACTTGAAAGGTTATAAAATCTACTTGAAACCACCTTTTAAGCAAGGACTTCACTTTTTCCAAACTCCGTATCAACTAAAGAATTAAACCACATTGTTCTTGCAAGCATTTTTGGCAGTAAAAGAAGAGAGGTAATGAATTGTTTCTTATTGGTCCAAAAGATCCAATAGTGGTGGAGGTTAGTGTTTTTCTCAGTTTGGTATGCTGGATTTACTCTGTTCATTTTCTTCTGTATTGTAATCCTGGATACTTTATTTTGTGGATGATGGAATTGTTGATAATAACAGAAATGTGAATGGCCCATTTAGGCCCATTAAACTACTGTATAACCTGGGACCTCGCAAGATGGCCCATTATGGCTAAAGAGGGGTAACTGACATCTATAAATAGCCCATGAAACAATGAGAAAGGCATCGAGCCATTTCAGAGTCTCTCTCTCTCTCTCTTTTTTTGATTTCAGGAGGCAGAGTCTCCCTCGAAGAAGACTCCTGTGGTGAGTAGGCTCTCATCAATTATGGTATTAGAGCTTGAGGTTTCGTCTAGAGAAGTGGTTGTCCATGCCGCTGAAAGAATGGTAGGATCCATCTAATGGACGCCAAAAAGATTGCGGAATGGGTGGGCGAATTTCAAAAATTTTCCTACCTTCTCCCAACTGGGAATCGCATTCCCTAAATTTAGAATACAATATTCAAGGATCCTACTTGAACCATAATCGAACCAGATCTGAACAAAAAAGAAAAAAGGGAGGATTATACCTGATCCAGAGAAGCAGTATCTCCCAAAGTTGGTGTTCACG